GATGGCGGCGGCGGCGGCCGGCCCCGGGACGGCGCTCTCCCCGCGGCCGTGCGACAGCGACCCGGCCACCCCCGGAGCGCCGTCCCCGAAGGTGAGGCTTGGCGCCCGGTGGGGCGGGGGCGGGATGGGGCCGGGCCGCGGGGTTCCCGCCGGGACCACAGCCGGAGGCCGCGGGCCCCCGAGGCCGCCCCCCGCTCGGCCGCCGCGGCCCGGCTGGGCCCCGCGGAGCGCGGGGCGGAGTGCGCGTCGCCGGGGTCCGGAGCGCGCCTGGCGGAAGCGGCTCCCGGGGCTGCGGCGTCCCGGCCGCGAGCGGGGAAGCGGGCTCCGGGGGCTCCGGGGGCTCCGGGGGCTCCGGGGGCTCCGGGGTGGCCGGCGTGGCTCTGCAAAGTGTTAGCTCGCCGAGAACCGACCAGACGGCCGGAGCACAAGACAGTCCGGGAACTTAGTTTAGTAACGAGACCGACACGCAGCCCTTCCAATTTTTACTGCGAAACTCTCTTTGTGAATTGAAATGTTGTAGTCGGTGCGGTTTCCCGGGGGCAAGGGGACCGCGTGTTCAGCCGGAGGCGCCTGGAGAGCAGCCAGGCTGCGCGGTAAAGCGCGTGTGCGCAGTCAGGGGTTTGGGGCAGAAGCTGGGCCCCGGGGCAGCGGCCGCTGCGGGAGACTGGGGAGAGCCGCGGGGGGCGCGCACCACCTGTGGCTCGGAGTGCGGGCGGTCCCTAACGCCCCCCGCCCCCCCGCGCACCTGTGCGTGTGGACGGGGCCGCAGACTCGTGCTCCCTCGTGCTCCCGGTACCTCCGCCTAGCATTGCTGAAAGCACGTGCAGGGCACTGCCTGTGAAATTCTGGTTTCAGCTTTTTTTGAGGACTTCGCATTTTTCGCCTTTTTTGAGTGTTTCAACTTTTTAGCCAAGGGAAACATACTTAAATCGACGTAGAACTCCGTAAAATGCTCAGTCGCAAGTTAAACCAAAAAAATAAAATACTTGAATTTGCTTACAGGCAGTTATTCCTGAAATACTGAATATGAAACGTCTCAATTGTGAGTCTTACTGTTAAATGTAGATGTTTGGAGAATACATTTATTCTTCTCCATCTCATACCTGGTTGCCTTTCTTAATAGGAATATACAGAGTTCTTTAATTGAATAATTATGTTATACAGGAACTAAAAAAGGACAATATGCCATATATTTTACTGTTTGGGAAAGAATCTTGAGTAAATTCCTAGTAGCTGGAGCCGTTTGAGACTTTCTGATTATCATCACAGTTATATTAACTTTTATAGGACACTTAATGATTTGCTGGGCCTTGCTCTAAGTGCTTCCCATGTATTTAACTCATTTAATCCTTGCATCAGCTACACCACACAGGCGGTAGTATCATCTCAATTTTACAGATAAGGAGAGGCGCACACAGCCTCGCTCAGCTAGTGAAGGACAGTGCCCAGTAAGATCCCGGTCCAGCTTTGGCATGCATGACCAATATAACTTATTACCTCTTTGTATTCTTCTACAGGATTGCATTCTTTTTAATATGTAGCAAGAGGACCGTGGTATTTAACAAAATTGTATTCATCTTACAAAGCTACATGTCCTTGATTTTTTTTTAAGTTATTTTTTAAGTCTTATAGTCATTAAGCCTTAGCTAATATGTGAATAAATCCATTTCCTAACATCTGATGCCTCATTCATGTTCTGAATGGAATGGTCAGACTTAGAGTCTTGATATTACTGTCTCATCACAGATAATGTGACCTAAAAATGCTTAACCCTCTCCTCTTTTGGTGGAGATGTGTGTGTGTTGCTGAATAGATTGTTAACTCTTATTAGGGAATATTCTCGCTAAATTTTTGCAATGTAAGAAAAAATATTAACAGGATTGATCATGTGTGTTTAGTCTTTGTATGCCCTTTATTTCACGGAAATAGAAGTATGTAAGAGCCCATTAGAATAGTCCTGTCAACCAGCTATGAGTTGAGTTAAACAGTAAATGATCCACACTTTTTGTTTAGTTTAGTTTAGTTAAACACTAAATGATCCACGTTTTTTTCCCTAGCTGAGGTAGGAGGGTTTGCTTTAATTTTAGACTGTTGCAGCAATTTTATGTGTTTCTAATGCACAGGGCATTTTAACTGCAGTCGGTAAAAAAGCAAAAGTAGATTTAGATTTACAGGTTAATTAAAAATTTTCTTATTTTGATTGTATTGAGGATCACTTTGTTTTTAGTTTTCTTCCAGGTCTTGCCATACCAAATTCTTGACCCCTGTTAATTATAATAGAAAGTTAACATTGTATAATCAGTTGTCCTTAGAAAGCCTTTAAGTGGAGCCTTTTAGCAAGTCTGGGAAGATACATAATCATTCTTTCCTTATTTTTTTATTGTTTCTCTTCTTATTTTTTGAATTTTTTAAACGTATAGGATGATAATGAAGATAATTCAAATGATGGGACCCAACCATCCAAAAGGAGGCGAATGGGCTCAGGAGATAGCTCTAGGAGTTGTGAGACTTCAAGTCAAGATCTTGGGTACTGTCATTTCATTGCTTAATAGTAGTTTCTGTGGTCTGTTTCTCTGCTCTGCAATACCTCACCCTCCCCGGCCCCTGCACTGGCAAAGGCAGTTACTAGATATTGTAGAATATTTTTGTCATGTTTTACATATGACACCAACATTGCTTTTGCTACTCAGTGCAATTAAAACTTGTTTTTATTGTGATAAAATACACATATAAAATTCACCATTGTAGCATGTTTGGGTGTGTCACTCAGTGGCACGGTTATGCCCAGCGTCTTTCAGCTGCCGCCTGCACCCTTCTCTATGGCTTCGCCCCTGCGCGGGAACGTCCTGGCCAGGAGGCAGTGACAGCTGCTGCTTCCCTCTTTCCCCAGCCCCTGGCAGCCACCATCCCCTTGCTGACATTTTGGATTTGCCTGTTCAGTGCACCTTGTGTAGATGGAGTCGTACAATATTTGCCCTTTTATGTCTGGCTTCTTCCTCGAGAGTTCATCCACGTTGTAGCATGTGTTTGAGTTTCCTTTCTCTTTAGGGCTGGACTGAGCTCCGTGTGTGGGTAGACCACCTCTTGTTTGCCCTTTCATCCATGACAGACACTAAGATTATTTCCCACTTTGGGCTGTTGTGAACAGTTCTGCGGTGAATGTTGGGGTATAAATATGTGTTCAGTCCCTGTTTTCAGTCCCTTTGGGCGTATCCCTTGGAGAGGAGCAGCTGGATCATAGGGTAGTTCTGTGTTTAGGACCTTGAGGACCTACCAGACTGCTTTCCACAGCGGACCCATCATTCTCTGTTCCTGCCAGCAGTGCAGCTTCCTTTGCCGTTGGTTATGTCCCAGCTGTTCTGATGATAACCATCCGAAGAGACGTGAGGGGACATCTCACTCTTGTTACCATTTGACTTTCTGTAGTGACTAGTGATGTTGACCATCCTGTCAGTGCTTATTTGTGAATCTTTGGGGGAAATGTCTATTCAGGTGTTTTTGCCATTTTTAAATGGGGTTGTTTGTTTTGTTGTTGTTGAGTAGTGGAGTTTTTTTATGCATTCTGGATATTAATCCCTTATCAGATACAGGATCTGCAGTCCTTTCTTCCTATTCTGTGGGTTGCCTTTTCACTCTGTTGAAGAGTCCTAACATGCAGAAAATGTTTAATTTTGCTTAAGCTTAAATTACCTATTTTTCTTTTGTTGCTCATGCTTTTGGTGTCATGTCTAGAACCCAGTGCCAAATCTGAGATCGGGAAGAGTTACTCCTGTGTTTTTTTCTAAGTGTTTTCTGGTTTGGTTCTTGTATTGAGGTTGTTGATCTATTTTTGAATGTGATAGTAGGTAAGGGTCCAATTTCATACTTTTGCATTTGGATATCTAATTTCCCAGCACTATTTTTGAGAAAACTCTACTTTTTGGTTGTTACTTTTAATTGGATGCATAAAATAGTGTCACATTCTTGCCTCTATTGTCCACTGATGACATTTGGAGGTTGAGTTGGCCAGGCCCAGAGATCTGTCGTTGGCTCTTCAGGGTTGGGATTGGTCTGCGGTACACTGGCACCATCAAACCAGGTCTGTTCTGTGCTTCTGGCCTGTGGAGTCTATGAGAACCAAACAATTATGGTTTATAGTTTAGCTCTTTGAGAAACACGTTTTTGGATTTCTGCTTTCTTAGCTGTTTGACTCGCTGAACAGCAGGTGGGAAACAAGTTGGTGACTTTGTACTTCGGGCGGGTGAAATAGCGGTATGGGCGTGAAGCTCAAGAGAGGGAATTCAGAAAGAATATCACCACAGTTTTGGTTTGGCCTTATAGATCTCTTAACACTACAGAATTCCTTTACTGCTGACAGTTGTGAGTCTTGGTTCTTTGGGGTGTGTTCCAGTGTACTGTTTTGTTTGGTATCACACACGCTTGCTTCCTTTCCCTCTGCCTGTGTTGTGATGTTCTTGGACGCACAAGACGGTACGAACTTGTATGTATGGCAGATGAAAATTTAAATAATTAAAGTAGTTCTCCAAATTCCTAAAAATGAAACTCCTCAAAAATAAATCCTTAAAATAAAAATGATTAAAACTTAATAAAAGCCACATTTAAGGCATAATACATATTTCTGTGCTTAGCTTTAGCTACTATCCAGCAGAAAATTTGATAGAGTACAAATGGCCACCTGATGAAACAGGAGAATACTATATGCTTCAAGAACAAGTCAGTGAATATTTGGGTGTGACCTCCTTTAAACGGAAATATCCAGGTATTAAGTCTTAGTTTATGTAACAGATTAAATCTAACTTTTAACTAAATAGTAACTCTTTTTGATAGGTTATCAACTTCTGAATATTTGGGTATGGAATATTTGTAATGCACTGTATATTCTTCTGCTGGCTGATTTTCCTTTCTGCTGTCACCCAGCATTTCTCTCCACTCTCAGTTTGCTCTTATGCCTTATAAATGGACTTAAAAGCAAAATGTGGAAGGTGAATTTCCTGGTGAATTCCTTAGAAAAAGTCATGTTATGGCCGAAAGCAGCAGGAATTTGATTCTTTCCCATTGCTCCCTGGCCTGAGCGAGGGAGGCAGCTACACGGGGCTGTGTCTGCATTTGAGAAAAGCCGTCTGTGCAACTAAGTTACTATTCTTGCTTTGGGTTATTCTGTTTTCAACTTTAATTTAGCTTTTATTCCTTGAATTTGTAAGATTGCGTGGTCTCTTTAGTAATCTTTGGAATATATAACACACAGTACTTTTTTAAGTCCATGAAGAATTTAACTTTTTAAAAAAATCTTAAGGTTTTTAAGTTTTTTAAAAGTTTTACAAATGCATAATGTTACCAATGTAAAAGACTATTTTTAATAGTCTTTTGTTCTTTTTTTTGGAGATTTAGAGCGACGAGATTTGTCCCATAAGGAGAAACTCTACCTGCGGGAGCTGAATGTCATCACAGAGACGCAGTGCACTCTAGGTAACAGAGGCTTTGAAACGGGAATTATGAAAGCTAGATATTTATGAGGTGATACTGGATGGGTATTTGTCCTTTTCCCTAAAGTATTTTACAAAATTAATGAGATAGATTGAATTATTTAAATGCTAAATTGTTTATTTTTGGGTTTTGTTAAAATATAAAGGAGAATGACATTTTAAACAATATTTCACACAAGTGTCCGTGTGTGTGGTGTGCAAAATTTGTATAGTAGTTTTAAAAAGTATTGGTCTTTATCTCTTATAAGGCACATTTTGCTCTGTTTTTAGTTCTGTAGGCTTATCTCCATGCTTTGTTTCCAGTTTTTCTTTCATAAACATTTTAATGCTCCGTGGCACTTTTTAACATAAAACCATGGGTGTTCATCACAACAGTTGGTATGATTGGATGCTCTGAGTTTTGAAAATTGTCTGTATGATTTGTATGTGTGTGCTGATGCTTCTCTTGGAATTTGAATGGACTCTTTGTAATATTTCTAGTGTATTGAATTTGAAGACTAACTACTGCAATATATTGAAAAACTCTTGTTTTTGTCTAATATCTTTCCTTAGTTAAGGATATTAGATTAAGGATAATCCTTAATCCTCAATGGCCTAAATTAGTATGCATCATTATTTAGCCATTGCTTTTAATAAAGGGATATATGTTTCTAGTACATTGAATCTTAAAAAAAAACGTGGTTCAAAAATTGATTTATTTTCCTTTGCAACTTTGATGAGCTTTTTTTAAAAAACTTGTTTGACTTTATATTATGAATATTGTTTTTTATTATTTTCAAATATATTACAATATTTTCCCTTGACTACTGGAAAATTTTAAATGTAGAGTAGATTAAAGGAAAAGCAAATTTTGAAAAGTAGTTTTGTTCACTTAGCCTTAAAAGAGTTTTTTTTTAAACTGTTTTTTTGGTCTAAAATAGGTTTAACAGCATTGCGCAGTGATGAAGTGATTGATTTAATGATAAAAGAATATCCGGCCAAACATGCTGAATATTCTGTTATTTTACAAGAAAAAGAACGTCAGCGAATTACAGATCATTATAAAGAGTATTCTGTAAGTATTGAGGTGATTGGCATCTCTTATTTAGTTTGGGGAGAATGACATTTTGTAAAGTTGTATGTGACTTCCAACTGTAATATTTTTATTTCAGCAAATGCAACAACAGAATACTCAGAAGGTTGAAGCCAGCAAAGTGCCTGAGTACATTAAGAAAGCTGCCAAAAAAGCAGCTGAATTTAACAGCAACTTAAACCGGGAACGTATGGAAGAAAGAAGAGCTTATTTTGACTTGCAGACACACGTAGGGCTGCTTAACTTTATTAGTTCCTGAACCTCACTTTGTGCTTGTTAGGGTAGAGTGCTCAGTACCTCCTTTATTTAACCGTTGTTGTTTTTTTTTTTTTTTCTGCTGGCAATGTGTCCTTTTCTGCCCCAGAACTTAAGATACAATTTTTAACGATATGCCAGTAATACTCTGCTCACTTCTGTGTGGGGGTGTGTGTGTGTGTGAGGGAGGCGTCTTTTGCTCTGTGGTTGACTTTTGCTTGTCCCAAGGGTTGTTTTAAGAAATTTCCATCTTAATTCACTTAATACTCACAGTTGCCACGTGAGGTTGAAGCTAGTATTCTTCTCATTTCATAGATGAGGACACTGTATGCATTGCCCAGGTCCCCTTGCTCGTCAGCGGTGGGCAGAAGCACACTATGTTTCCCTCAGCAGTGAGGGCTGTGGCGAAGAGCCAGACGCAGTTCCCATGTACAGCTAGAAACACCCTCCTGTCCCCTTGGGTTCTCGTTCCTAATGTCTCCTGTGTTTCTAGCCTTTTGCGGGGAGGAGCACAGTGGAGAACAAGAGCTGTTGTGTTCCTAAAACCTTGACTCCTAGCATGGAATCAGTTTTGTATTTCTCTTCACGTTAACCCAGGTTATCCAGGTACCTCAAGGGAAGTACAAAGTGTTACCGACAGAGCGAACCAAGGTCAGTTCTTACCCAGTGGCCCTCATCCCCGGACAGTTCCAGGAATATTACAAAAGGTATTCGTTGGTTTTATGACCATTACTATTGGGTATTGCCGAGGGACTTGAGAGTCTGGTATACTTGCCTCCAAAGAGTTGGGCATGTGTCCGTATTCTCTCTGACTTCTGTGGCTCTGCACACAGAAGAAGCCCCTTCAGGCAGTGCTTGAACGTGTGCTGTCTGCTGACAAAGCCCAGGCTGCCCATCTCCCCGCCCACCTGCTTGTGTTTCTGTGGACAGGCGTCAGAAGTTCTAAAGCACCCCAGGCCTCAAACTGTACCTGTGTCACTTGAAAGCTTGTTGGGAATGCAGACTCCCAGGCACAACCCCAGACCTGCTCACTTGGGAAGCACTGACTTATTCGGCAGAGGAAATGAAGGAAGGAGCAGAGGGGCTGCCGGGGCGGGCACGGCCACCTCCTCGTTCCAGCCACACCGCCGGCCTGGCTGCTACTTCCACACAGTGTGGCAAGAGTGCTGTTTACCTCTTAGTCCCAAGCGGGATGTAACTGAAAACCAGGCTAACAGGGTCATTTTATTTGAAAATCTCAGCTTTTACTTCAGCCCTAAACCTTATGTTCTTGAGGAAAGAGACTGTTCTTTAAGGAATAGCATTTAAAATAGACTATAGGATCCTACTATTTGAAAGCCAAGTTTAAATCATGGGTTAGCAGATTTTAATTTCACTTTTGGGTCAGCAAATTATTAAAAGTGATATGCCAGGGTACCAGTCCCTTTGATTTTTGCTGTCTTAGTTGAGGGAGATGCTGATCCAGTGCCCACTCCTAAACTCAGGTTTCAGGGTGTGGACAGGGTGTGACATGGGAGAGGGCCGGCCTGTGGGTGGGAGTGGCCACAGTGTCCTGTGGTGTGGGTGCCATCTGACTCAGGGTGAGGGGCTGCTGGTCTCTCATTTCAGACACAATAGATGATTAATTTGGTTTCTGAAATAATGTCATGGACCATGCACTGCCGTGCATTGCAAGTGTCGATTGATAAAATCCTCACATCTGTCTGTGAGGTGGACGCATCGTCATACTCATTGTACATGTGAAGCAGCGGTGGACCCAGAAGCAGTGATAACTTAGGGAGTGAGGGGTGCGGCGCTCAGGGGGCGTGGGTTTTGTGCACAGTCTTTAATTGCCACAGTTCCACGTTAGTCGGCTTTTTTTTTTTTTTTCCCTCTTTTTGGGTTGAGGATGAAGGAGAGAGACGACATATCTTTTGATAATAAGAATCAAATGTGTATAGTACACTCTACCTGGTGCAAAAAATGTTTAGGCTTTTTATTTATTTTCCTTACTTGATACATGATACAAAATGAAAACTTATTTGTTACATCTGTAATCATTTTCCAAAAGTATTTGGGGTTAATTGAGAAGATTAAGGCTATGTTTGAAGGTCGTGGATTAGATCATTCATATTAATCATAGAAGACAACTGATAGTCATGTCTCTGAACCTCAGGTACTCACCAGATGAGCTGCGGTATCTGCCACTGAACACCGCACTTTACGAGCCCCCTCTGGATCCTGAGCTCCCGGCCCTAGACAGCGACGGCGATTCGGATGATGCCGAGGATGGTCGAGGCGATGAGAAACGGAAACATAAAGGCACTTCGGTAGGAGCATTGGTCTTTACTAGGAGGTGTCTCCCTCCCTTGGAGTTTTTGCTAATTGCCTTCCCAGATGTTGAATTGGACTGGTAGCACCGCCCTCTTTTTGAGAAAGGACAGTTGGCATATAATTTCCTGAATGCTTTCATCAAGAAAATTATTTATTGTGTGCACTGGTATAGACAGGCCGTGGATGGCCTTTGGTAAGTTTTATTTTTAAAGTTATCACAGGCAGGTTAGGAAAGGGCACTGGACATGAGTTTACAATCCTATGTTGAACTGTCTTGGTTTTGGGAGCACATTAACTTGTGTTCCTATTGCTTAATTTTTTTTTTTTTAATATTTTACTTATTTGAGAGAGACAGATTCAGCAACAGAGAGCACAGTGGGGAGAAGCAGACCCCCCCGCGGAGCAGGGTCCCCCCCCCCCCACAGGGCTCGATCCCAGGACCCCGGGACCTGAGCCGAAGGCAGACGCTTCACTGACTGAGCCACCCGGGCACCCATGCTATTGCTCAATTAACAATTTAGATTTCCTATAGGAAAACGTGAAGGTGACTGGTATGTTGTGCTATTAGGTAGGTTTTCTTGGTTTTTTTTTGTTTTTTTTTTTAAGCAAAATGCAGTTGCATGACTGGGGAGTGTTGGTGTGCTCGGTGGAAGTGAAGGAGAACAAACCCACGATGTCAGAGGGTTCTGATCTGATTTAGCGTGGTGCACTGAGCAGCCAACTTGAACCTGAGAATGTGCTACCATTCGATGTGCAGTACATTTTTTTTTGTCACCAATACGTTCTAAAACATTTAATGATACATGTTACATAAACTAAGATGCTATTCAAGTATTAAAGGATGGTACCACTTTTCTCCTGTCTTACTGGTGAAAGGGTTGCTGTGGTGTGAGCAGGTTATGTTGACTTTCCCTCACTCTGCTTGTTGGAGTATAAATTAATCCAGCATTTCAGGAGAGCGTTTAACAGTTATACCAAGATTTTTGACTTCCACAGAATTTGACCTAGCAAATATATTAACAGAATTTACCTGAAGGACAATAATTAGGACAAAAAATGGTCATTGGAGTGTTAACTGTATTTTTTTATAATGGAAATTAGGAATAATTGTAATGTTCACAGTAGGTGATATATTACATTTACATGACAGAAATGAAGTTCGAAGAATATTAAATGATGTGATAAAATGCACATAATACTTAAAACAATTGAAAAACACACTCAGTGTAATCCAGTTGTGTGTGTGTATTTTTAAGATCATGTTTAAGATGTATTTATTTTAGAGGAGTGGGGGAGGGGCAGAGGGAGAGGGAGAGAGAATCTTCAACAGACTCCACGCTGAGCCTGGAGACCGATGCGGGGCTGGATCTCACGACCCTGAGATCGTGACCTCAGCAGAAACCAGGAGTCGATCACTTAACTGACTGAGCCACCCAGGTGCCTCACCAGTTTTGTGTTCTAAAAAAGTGAGGGGTATGTGTAGATAGGTATGTGTATGCGTGTGTGAATGTGCGAATCTGGGTATTTATATGCAGACACACACCTGGAAAAAATTAAAAGGAGATGCATTCATGTTCCCAGTAGTTGTCTCAGACTGTTTATCAAAGTAGTTACGGATAACCTAATTTTTTCAGTTATTAATTTTCATAATTTATATGAACATAGCATTTTTATTTTAATTAGAAAATTTTAAATTAAAAAATGAAGAATTAAATGATGAGATATCGAACTCCTAAACTTTGAACATCTAAAATATGTCAGATCCTGTCGTAAAGGCTCAGCGATACTGGTGCCTGCATGGAATACAAGTGAGTGCTTGAAGAACTCTAATATTTATTACTCAGTAAAAAATACCCACACTTATTTAAGACAGTTTATTTTTTAAGTAGTTTTTTGTCTGAAACAAACAATGCCCCCCGTGACACGGCACAACAGTGTCGAAGCACCGAAGCAGACAGTACTGTTCGTGTTATGTCAGAAAACGGTGGATTAAGGTACTAGCTGGTGTAAATGGAATTAGCTCTGTGCTTTCATGTATTTATCACACAGGTAGGACTTCTTTTAGTCGGCACTGGGAAAAGTTTTCTTATTTACAGTTACCTTTTAATTTTTACACTGATGGAACTTTAAAACTTTTTACAAATCACACTCAAGTCTATGTGAATTCCAAGCGATCTTTGTTTGTGCCTTTGACCTCCAGGACAGCTCCTCCGGCAACGTGTCTGAAGGGGAAGGCCTTCCCGACAGCCAGGAGGAGCCTCTCCAGGGAAGACAGAGATCCAAGGACAAAGCTGCTACTCCAAGAAAAGATGCTTCCAAACGTTCTGTACTGTCCAAGTCAGTCCCTGGGTACAAGGTAGAAGAAAAAAGCCCCTGACTCCGCTTCCTTCCTGACCAGCCTCTCTCCCCGACATAGTTTAACTTTGACTTTCAAAGCTGTGGAGCTCTGCCTGCTGCACTTCACTAGCTCTTCTGTGGTGTGTGCCCTCTGTCAGCTCCCTTCTTGTTTGCTTTATTTTCCTGGTGGCTTTTCTGTCACTTTTGCCTATGGTTCAGCTTCTGTTTTCTGTAGATGTACAATTTATAAGAAAATCTCTTTTTGTTTTTTAAACCATAACCAGGCAAGTATGGGTTTTTAAAAATTCATTTCATAGGCAGAACTTTATATTTTGTTTCCTTGGAGTAAAGATCCTAGTTATCTGATATTTACAATGACCTAGTATTCAGTATAGCTTAGCATGCTAAGCTGTAAAGGATGGGTGGATTGACTCTGAGAATAAGCTCCTCTCCTGGAGAAAGATCTGAGTTTAATCTAAAGATTATTCGATCCATTGGCCAAATTCAGTTAACTCTGCGATAGAAAATAGTAAAATCTGTTATTTACATTATGGTGATTTTTAGCTTAACCTTGGCAAATAGCTTCTATGACTCTATGACCAGGATTTAAGCATTATCTAGTGATGTAATCTGGCTTACACACACACACACACACACACACACACACACACAGATAGATACACTTGTGAACTGCTCTGGCTCTTCTCAGAGCAAGGTAGTATGCTATCAGCAATATTATTGTTATCGTCTTCCCCTTCCGAGGGCTGGGTGAGAGGTGAGTAGCCCTGTGCCTACATGATGGGGGTTTAGGAATGTTCTGGAGGGGGTGAAATCAGCCGCACAGTTTTATGTTCTAGATGGTAATAGTAAAATACACCATTCATATGGTCTGGAATAGATCCGAATATGCCTTTAACTGTGGTTATGAAGGTGTTTTGAAGGCACATTTTAGAGTAAGGTGATGGAGCAGTTTTGCTGAATGGAATTGTTAAAAACATCTTGTCCTGGGTCAGGATTGTGGTCACAGTGGACGGTCTAGAGGAACAGGTGCACGGGGGCTGCCAGCCAACTTCCCTTCCCCAGCCGGACCCTTCTAGCAATCTGCTTACCTTTCTTTTCCTGAAGTAAACAAAGCAACTTAACAAATTAGTGTTTAATTTAATCCATATTTAATTTGAAAATGCCATTACATAATCAATTTAAAAATCCATGTTTTTTTCAGCCTCTGGCAAGCATATCTTAAGCTTCATTTGGCAAGGGTTGGCTTCCAAGGATGGCTTCAGTAGGCTGCAGCTGTGTGTTTTTTATACTTGTTTTTACATAGATAGCTTACCTAATTTTTTAAATGTAGGATGTAAATTAATGCTTAATAATTGAAAGCAAATGAACTCCAAAGATTAAATCTTGGAAAGTTAGCCTGGTGTGTGTGCTGCAAAGTGTGCTGCTGGTCTTCAAATGGGAGTGGCAGTTCAAAGCACACTGTCGGCATTAAGGAGACCTTTCATAATAAGCCTGGATTCATCATGGGTTCAGAGGAGCGAATGGTGAGGTAGATGTTTTAATAGAGGCTGAAAATGAAGATTATTCCACAGTATCATTGATTTAATCTAGAAGAAATCCTGTAGATTGACCTAAATTGATATTACTCGAGGGAGTGTAATATGCAAAATACACATTTTATAATTTCTGTGAACATTTTTAGTACCTAAAAATGTTTCAGGTATTTCAAAGTTTGGAACAACCAGTATCTAGACTTAATACATTAATGTGAACATGTTTATTAAAAGTAACCTCTGTATGAAAAATATTAATAAGCCAAGATGTGCCTAAATATTAGGGTATTTCAAGCTGAAGGTCATATATATAAATATGTTGGAGTTAAGAAAAATGATGACGTATCTGATGTCTTGCTTAATAAGATTCACTAGTGCTTGCCCTTAATTTGTAGGACAGTATTGTTTAGGTTACATTAACCTGCAACTAAAGCATAATTGTTAGGATTCAGGCCTATGTGACAAGTTTATAATTAAAATCTATACTATAGTAGTGCTACCGTGAAAGTCTGACTTATCTTTGGTTATTTCTCAAGCAGGAAAGTCAGTGTATTGTGAGCCTTTTATTTGAGATGCTGAGAACCATTAGGATGAGTATTTTAATTTTCTTATCAATAGTGAAACTTTGATGTTGTTGCAGTTACTAGAAGTATAACTGACTGTCAGACATAGGGTTCTGTTCCATCAGTCTTCGCGGGACTTCTGCACACTGTTCCTTCCTCCTCCATCAGAGGAGTCTCCTTCAGAGACTAGCTTCCCAACTGGCGGTCCTGGGTGTGAGCAGGATGGCTTCTCAGGGAGCTCAGAATGCTTGAGTGAACAAAGAATTGCCATAGGAAATGCTACAAAGCTCTGTCTCTCTCTTTTTCTCTCTCTCTTCTCCACCCCGTCACTCCCTCTTTTCATCAAGATGAAGACTATTGGGTAAGAAACATTTTAAATGGTTTAACAAAATATTATGATTTTAAGCTTAGAAGTAAACCTAGAATTTTCTTGGTATCCCTTTTTTATCATAGGTGTTTAATGTATATTTTAATGGCTGTAGAACTTGAATTGCTCTAGAATGTGAATGACTAGCCTTGTGTTTGATTCCTTTTTGACTTTTGTAAAGGATTTCCTATGAGGAGTTCTTTTAGAATTTAATACTATGTAGTTACTTCCCTGACTTTAGTGAAAGATATTCGAATACTTGGTATATGCCAGTATCTAACTTCGACTACAAGTATTAAATAAGTCTTTTACATTCAGTGCAGGTGCCATAACCAACAGAGTTCTTATTTTGGTGTATTGAGAGGTAGCTTTCTGCTGTATATTATGGCAGTTACAGATGTGGTCATCACCGGATCAGAACTTGGATCATAGAAGTGCACTTCTAGCTATTTTGTATTTAGGTGTAGGAAGCACAGTGAGAACCTCCTGCTTAGAATGTAGCAACAATGGAGGGTGACTGCAGTGCAAGACGCACATGGTGTGAGCATGTGACACTATCCTTTTGTTGGGGGAGCAGGGTATACAGACATACAGGAGATGTAGGATAGTTAACGGTAAAGTTTTATATGTATGTTTTAACTTCCATGATATTTATTATTTTGTAGAGACATTTGTGATTGTTTAGAGTTATTGTTATTATATTTATGTATAAGGTTGACTTTTTTTAAATAAATAAGCCAAAAATTATTTTTGAATGCCTCTGTCATCTTTTGCAAAGAAAGACAATTTAAAACATAAAGAATTTAAAGAATTAAGAACAAATTGTTTAGGCCTAACAGGTTTTGAAGGTGGCAGTGAGACATTTCAAAGCTGGAATACTGTATACAAAGCTGGAGTTTCCTTTAGGCTCCTCTTTGGTTTAGTAACTTAGGAGAGGGAAATAGAAGATGTATTTGGCTGGGTTGAAATAAAACAAATACCACAATCCTGTTGAAGAGAATCTCCCCGCAGGTCATGTATACACGTACGCCCCTGGCCCATCTCCTACTTGGCCCATGCTTGCTCTTCTTTTTCTGCCACCATTACTTACGTATTCGAGTAGCATTAATGAACATCATCTTATTACGGTCAAAGCTGTGATGTTTGTATGTTCTCCCTCCCCTGATAACTGTAGGTGCTGTGAATCTTTTCTTCTTTGTCCTTTTCCATGTGTTGCTAAGTGTTTTTTAAAGCCCAAATACTTTCATTGGATTGAGCAAGGCTTTAATCTGAAAAATGAATGGTACTCAAGAATACGAGGGTGTCTATAATTTTTTAAGTTATGATTTTTTTTTGCTTGTCTGAAAACTTATTTCCTCTTCTATGTTTTGTATCTCCTATGGAATGCTTTTCCCCTAAGCACAGGCTCTTTTATTATTAGATACGCAAAGGGAATAATCATAGCTTGGTTTCCAGAAACATTTATGCACATGACAATGTATGGATGAGACATCGTTCAATTAAAAATGTTAAAACATTGATTCTTGTAACTTAGATTTTATAGATCTATTTTTACAACTTTGGAAAATAATCAGTTTTTAAACAAAACCAGTATATAAGCTGCTTAACACGAAGCCTTCCATTTATCGGTAAGCCTGACTATATATGTAACGGTCGTTCGGTACTTGGGATTTTCTCTTCCAGTTAATAGTGCAATTTGACGTTGTAGTGCTCCCTTCCAGTTCATCATACGGACCTTACTGTGCACGTAAGGAGTGTAGAATGCTACATTTAATCCTGACATGAGATCACGCTGTTGACAGAATTTTTAAACAAAATCTAAAGCTTTAGTTAGTAGGCCATCGTATGTTGAAAGCCGGCTTTCTCAAGTTAGGTCTTTCAAAAAGGTCCTCATTAGCAAGTTACCAAAAGTAAAGATGAGGCAGTAACAATTCCCTGTGAACCCATAGTAAGTTCTTCTAGCATCAATTTATAGCCCTCTTCTACCATTCCAGCCAAAGGTCATTCCAAATGCTCTATGTGGAATTTGTCTGAAGGGTAAGGAGTCCAACAAGAAAGGGAAGGCTGAATCACTTATACACTGCTCCCAGTGTGATAACAGTGGTAAGTACTAACATGTCTTCTTAACATTTTAACCACCCTGTTCGTTGCTTCAGAAACGAGGAGTTTTAGCTGTCAGACCTGAATCACAGAATCATCTGATAGATAGGGTAACTTGTGAGGCATAGAAAAGCAGCCCATGTATTTTCCTCTACTTCTTGTATTTTCATTTCTTTGGTGATTAAACATTGTAGCCATTCTTGAGAACTCAAAGCAAACTAGCATTTTATTATGCCATACTAAGTTCAAACTTCTATTGTGAAATACTAATGCTGGTTTTGGTTTAGGCCATCCTTCTTGCCTGGATATGACCATGGAGCTTGTTTCTATGATTAAGACCTACCCATGGCAGTGTATGGAATGTAAAACTTGCATTATATGTGGACAACCCCACCACGAAGAAGAAATGATGTTCTGTGATGTGTGTGACAGAGGTTATCATACTTTTTGTGTGGGCCTTGGTGCTATTCCATCAGGTAAAGACTGAAAAAAGGAGGAACATTATCTTTGAGTGAAGGGACTCTCCCAGCCTTTTTTTTTTAAAGGCTCTGCATAAACACCTTAAGGATCCTTCTGTTCATAAGAAGTGACCAAAGCTGTGATTATCCAGATAACGTCCGCCTGCTTTTCACCCCTAGGTAATCCAACTAAAGGACAGATGGGGTGTCAGAGTGCCCCATCCAAGTACTGGAAGTAGAGTTCAATGTAGAGTGAACTCCTGTCTTTCCACTGAAAGAACTAAAGCAAGAGCATCAATTTGTTTCAAAGTCTTGATTTTATTTTTATATCATCTATTCAGAAACTTAACAAAAATGACTGCTATGCCTTTATAAATATTAAACCAGATTTCTATAAAATGAGGCAGCATGACAATTGCAGGTAACTTTGGAATGAACACAGAGTCGAAGAATAAGTCACAGTACTTGGACTAAAATATTACACATAATTGTGTAAACCTAGAACTTATTGCATAGTTAACACTGTATAATACTTTTATAAAATATATGCCAAGAACTAAGTTTCCTGGGAATCATTAAGAAGCAGGCAACTTGAAGTTCTGTAGTTAAGTCAGATGGAGGACATGGTACAGTTTATCACTGATCAGTTTAAAGTGCTGTGTCTGGTGCACCAGGCCTTGGGAGCTGCCACGGAGCAGCAGAGAGAAGGGCTGAAAATAAGCCAAGCTAACAGGTTTCATATGAGGATTTGTAGTGTTGAGCTCTGAAAGTAGGATAGTGTTTTGGGTTTCAGAAAGGATTGTAATAATTTTTTAAAGTCCCTATCATTGTATAGAATCGCTCCTCTCACCCCACCCCCCATTGGTACTGAATTTCATATGGTACTGATTACACTGATGAAGGGAAGTTTACGTTTTTCTCTTTAAATTAAGAAACTCATTAGTGTCTTTCACATCACAAATCCACAGAGAAATATCATTAGTGACAGCTAAGGAAGGAGAGCCGAATGGGTTTAAAATTCAGTCCTAAAGAATTAAATTTCGTACTATATTAACTAACAATTTTTCTCCTAGGTCGCTGGATTTGTGACTGTTGTCAGCGAGCCCCCCCAACACCCAGGAAAGTGGGCAGAAGGGGGAAAAACAGCAAAGAGGGATAAAATATGGATTTAAATGAAATATTTGGTGCCAACTTACTTACATTCTCAATTTTATGCCAATAAAAGATTTCTGAAATTAACTACATGCTTAAAATCTGCAAGTTGATTTATTTGTTATAAGCCACTTTTACCCTTGAAACCAATTTCAAGTAGAGAAATAACAGTTTATTTTCCAAAAATTTCTTTTCATCTCTTAGTACTTTGGCTCTATCCAGAAATTCAGTTGGAAATATTAGGCAATTTAATTGAAATACTCCACAATTCCTCCATTGACCTGAAAGTGACTAGTATTTGCATGAAATTCTCCTAGTCTGTATTGTTTCTGGCCTGTCGTGGGTAGCATAACCAAGTTATTTTAATGACGGAAGAATTTTAATAGGTAGCCCAAGGTGATAAATAACAAATGACCTGATGAGATTCGGTGCAGCTGGTACAGGAGCACCCTGGGTCTGCCAGGAGATCTGTCCGGAGAGGGGTGCCCGCTTGACCTGGGGAGCAGGCACGGGGCTTTTGCCCCATACCCACGCAAATCCCCAGAAAGCATTACATTTCAGACTTGCTTTTAGTAACTCTTCAAAGTCTACACGCTGTACCTGCACTGGGGGCCTAACCGGAATACAGTGCTAGCTACCAGCCTTTTAATCTGATGCTCTACTTCGACTTATTTTATATAGACCTGGGTTACTGCAATATTTTTAGTCACCTGACAAGCTAATCAAACTGGAGTTTAAACATTTTATTGTGCGTATTCCCTTTACAGGAATTTTGACATTTGGAGGAAAAAACACATCGTTCTTGCTGCTTTCCCTACTTGTGGGGTATATGAGGTAACAAAACTGTATGGCTTTATGTGTCCATCCCCCAATCAGAAGTAACCAGAATTTCCACCAGATCAGGGTAGCTGGAGTCAGAGAGCACTGCAATCAACTTCCCAGGTTTCGGGGAGAGCCTCCAGAGCGTGTCCGGCGAGTCAAAACAGGATTTCGAGGACGAGTTTCAGAATACTAATGAGGACGGTCCAGAGCACGGACTCCTCCTCCTGGGGCGCATCCTCGGGGGCCTGGGCGCGCCTGTGCGCCGGGTCCCTGCCGTCGAAGACCGCCACCTCGGCGAACGGGGACCGCTCGACCCTGCGGTCGAAGTACACTTTCATCTCGAACTCGCTCTCGTGGTGGGACGGGTGCCCGTAGACGCCGATGCCCACGGGGCGCTGGAAGTGCGCGGGGATGGACACCACGTCCTGGCCGCACGTGACGGACTGCAGCTCGTAGTCGTCGAAGCTCGGGTGGAGGGTGCTGTCCGACACGTACAGGTCCGCGTCCCCCTTCAAGCTCCGCATCCGGAGGACGATCCGCCCCTCGTGGTTTAACCTCAAGTAGCTGTAATTCCCGGCTCCTATCTGGCCCTGCACAACGTGCAGCAGGAGCCACTCTTCGGGGACTTCGTCCTCGTCCGAGGGGCTGGCCGAGGACACCACCTGCGAGGCCAGCAGGACCAGCAGGGCGCGCTTCCAGGCAGCGGCCATGCCCGCCGCCCGCCGCTCAGCGGCTCCCCCGCGGACGTCCTGCAGGAGGGCCAGAGGGCACGCTCAGCGCGCCGGCGCCGCCGGGCCGCCCCCCGGGGCCCGGTCCCCGCAGGCCCCGGGAAGAGAGCGGAGACGGCG